ATTTGGGGGGAGATCTTTTTTATCATTTCTCATTGTAACACACCATGAAAGAGATGGTGGATGTGTGATGCCTTCACATTAAGTCTTTATGGACGCCGTCGAGGATGGAGTTTATGATCTAAATGATTGCTTTTCCATTGTCCCGCAAACATATGACGTAAGTTGTTAAGCGCGCTTGCGAAGAACAATGTGCACAACCAGGAGAATAAAAATACAGATGCGTTGATAGTTTGGCGACACGCCTTCATCGAAACGAATAGCAGAAGTGCATTGTTAGCATTGTCCCTCAAATATATTCACTTTGCATCGAGCCTGCAGTTCTTGCATCACGCGCTGACGTCCGTAGATGCCTTACGAAGCGCTATTATGGAATAAACATCGTTAACGATACCTGGCGCGTTCCCTTTCATCTTTGAGATCAGCCTTGCGCCGCCGACAGTGACATGGCTTGTTACCGGGGCTAGGCCCGTCAATAACTGACCGCGCGTAACAATAATCCTAGCGCTATGTTAATAATTGACCTGCCCGTCGCTCAGGCCGCGGCCGATGGTCGATAGTGGCCGTGCTCCGCCGCCGACGGCGACGGACAGGTAATTTTCCCAGGGAGCGGAAACGCCGGCTGTCACGCGTCTTTGAGAATACGCAATGACAAGCGGCGCCGGACCGAAGCTTTCGCGCGATTGATGATGCCTTTCCAGAATGCTTATCGGATTTTTCACTCCAAGGCACCATTTATGCATCTTGCAAAAAAGAACATGTTAACGTGCCTCCGATGCCCGAACTCTGCTAATTCTGTTTTGCATGGATTTGATCTACACCGCATGCTTTCGATCCGCTTATTTTACGTGTCTACTTTGATTTTGTAATATAAAAATTCATTCACAGGGCTATCAATACATGAACAGATTGATCAAGAGGACTTGACCCTATCACCCCCCTCCCCTCCCTGAACTCCCACTGCCCCTTTGGTATGTCTGTGAGCACATTCCCATCAGAACATGCCGAAACGTACGTCCTGTTGGGCGGGGGGAGGGGGGGGGGGGGGGGTCAGCCCCCGCGGACGCGGCCGTTTCCTTGCGAGGTCGCACTCGAGCACCAGTGGTTTGCCGTTTCCTCGAGAGCCAAGGTGCCGGTGGAGACGTTGTTAAAGCCTGAGAGCTGGCACGAGATGTTCCGGACGGAGATCAAAGGCGTCTGATGCCTCCTGCGACAACTGAATTCTGGGCCATCTGAGCGACCAAATGAAACGTCCCATAGTCCTCGCCAGTGATCTCTCGGATGTCGCGTGAAATCACTTTGCGTTCAAGGTGCCCAAAGGGAAACTATCGTTTATTTGCGCACGAAGTGTTCGCCTCCTATGCCAAGTTTAGTATAGTTCAGGTGTGAAACGTCTACTGACAAATCTGTGCTGAAATATACTCCACGTCAGCAAAAAGGGCCTTCAGCCTCTGGTTTCTCGGCATCATGAGCTCAGAATTCCTAAACAGCAATGATCTGATCTGTGCACGGCTTAGAGTTGTTACGCTGACAGTGATTGACTTTCAGTACACCAGGAGGTGCTGTTTAGACGACGTTATAAAGCAGACATTGGGTATAATGTCGATGCTCGACGTTTGACACCGCGCTTATGGTAACAGCCGCCGCCGGACCACCGCCTACGGTCCTCTGTGGAGAGCCTGTGGGGGCGAACAGTTCAGTATAGCTTCAAACGTCGAATACTGACAATAGAACCAACGTTGGCTCGATAGCATCGTGTAGCCGTTTATCTCCTAGTATCTGGAATTTTGATAGCAATCAGCATAAGAAGTCTGAAATCACAATGAGGTTTACTATACTGGCTGCTCTGACATTGTCCCGTTTATCGGGAGTTCCATTTTACGCTGTAATATTTGTAAAGTTTTCGTCCCAACATGAGAGATCATGACGTTCTCAGTCCACGATGTTGCAGCGCAAGACAAAGCGCACGGGTCGAAAAGCTCTCTTTGAAACTCGGCTTGTCTGCTGCTAAGCGAAAATTACAATTGGAATAGTATCTGGTAGGCTCGATCCCTTTAGTCTCTGAGCCATCTAGTTGTTTATATTAACACCTGACGTGAAGAGTGCCACGGGAACGGCGTTTTAAGCCAAATGTAGCCAAATTGGGTTACGTTGACCTGATTAATGTTGTTCAAACACGCGTGCTCTGTGAAGTGCTACCTCCCGCCACTTTTCTTCTGGTCGCACGGCCGAGTGATTTCAGCTGCATCAAATTGGTTGTCACGGTAAACGGTTCAGCGCGAATGCGATCTGTCTGTCGCAGTGACGGTACCGGTGCAAATGCTATACCGAATTTGTAGCGGCGCACAGTCCAATAAAGCGTTGAGCAGTAGCTGGGCGGCGGCCGGCGGGTAAGCGTAGCGGTCACCCGCGTGCAGGGTTGGACGAGCCAGCGCAGTGGGCCCAACCTGTAGGGGTGGACGGTTGGGTGTGGTGGCCAGCTGTCTGTAGAGGTGGACAGCTTAGTTTACGGACCTATAGGGATGGACGGTCCAGTGCAGCTGGCAACTGTCTGCAGGGGTGGGAAGTCCAGTATAGCGGTCAGCTGTCTCTTGGTGGTGGAAGGTCCACTGCAGTGGTCGGCTATTTGTTTAGTGGTGGACGGTCCACTATAATTGGTGGTCTCTTGGTGGTGGAAGGTCCACTGCAGTGGTCAGCTATTAATTTAGTGATGGACGGTCAGCTGTTTGCAGGGTCGGACGGTCCACTGTAACAATCAGCTGTCTGCAGCGTTGGACGGCCCACTGCAACGATCAGCTGTCTGTAGTGGTGGACGGTCCACCGTAGCGATCAGCTGTCAGCAGCGGTGGGCAGTCCACTGTAACGATCAGCTGTCTGTAGCGGTGGACGGTCCACCGTAACGATCAGCTGTCATCAGCGGTGGGTAGTCTACTGTAGCGATCAGCTGCCTGCAGCGGTGGACGGTCCACTGTAACGATCAGCTGTCTGTAGTGGTGGACGGTCCACTGTAATGATCAGCCGTCTGTAGGGGCGGACGGTCCACTGTAACGATCAGTCGTCTGCAGGGGTGGACGGTCCACTGTAATGGCCAGCCGTCTGTAGGGGTGGACGGTCCACTGTAACGATGAGCTGCCTGCAGTGGTGGACGATCCACTGTAATGATCAGCCGTCTGGAGGGGTGGACGGTCCACTGTAATGATAAGCCGTCTGTAGGGGCGGACGGTCCACTGTAATGGCCAGCCGTCTGTAGGGGTGGACGGTCCACTGTAACGATCAGCCGTCTGTAGGGGTGGACGGTCTACTGTAACGATCAGCTGTCTGTAGGGGTGGACGGTCCACTGTAACGATCAGCCGTCAGTAGGGGCGGATGGTCCACTGTAATGATCAGCCGTCTGTAGGGGTGGACGGTCCACTGTAATGATCAGCCGTCTGTAGGGGTGGACGGTCCACTGTAATGGCCAGCCGTCTGGAGGGGTGGACGATCCACTGTGACGATCAGCCGTCTGTACGGGTGGGCGGTCCACTGTAACGATCAGCTGTCTGTAGGGGTGGACGGTCCACTGTAACGATCAGCTGTCTGTAGGGGTGGACGGTCCACTGTAACGATCAGCCGTCTGTAGGGGTGGACGGTCCACTGTAACGATCAGCCGTCTGTAGGGGTGGACGGTCCACTGTAACGATCAGCCGTCTGTAGGGGTGGACGGTCCACTGTAACGATCAGCTGTCTGTAGGGGTGGACGGTCCACTGTAACGATCAGCTGTCTGTAGGGGTGGACGGTCCACTGTAACGATCAGCCGTCTGTAGGGGTGGACGGTCCACTGTAACGATCAGCTGCCTGCAGCGGTGGACGGTCCACTGTAACGATCAGCTGCCTGCAGCGGTGGACGGTCCACTGTAACGATCAGCCGTCTGCAGCGGCGGACGGTCCACTGCAACGATCAGCCGTCTGTAGGGGTGGACGGTCCACTGTAACGGCCAGCTGTGTGCAGGATTTGACGGCCCAGTGTAGCGGTCAGCTGCCGCTGAGCGGTGGTAGGCGGTCCAGTGCGGGAGCATACGAATGGTTTCCTTCTGTGAATCGGCTGGCTTGATAGATGATCCAGCTGTCTGTCGGCCCTCGGTTCGCCCTGTCAGCTCCACCAGCTATTTCGCCTTTACAATATCGGCAATCTGCCGAACCTCTGCACACCGTTAGTCACCGCTCGTGCATAAATTTCAAAAGAATGCGATTTGTGCCAGACCCCGTTAGTCTACAACGTTGTAAAATGATATACCAAGTAGGCATTCATGCATCCATACGTTCTTCCATATGCCTCAGCTTTAGGGCTGAGTCTATATCGCATGTTTGCGGCCAGTATTTGATGGTGTGGGGGATGCAGCTGCTGCTGAACATTTTTGGACTATGACAAAGATAATGAGACATGTGCCGCTCTGGTTTATCGTTAATACCCAGCCTGAAGTCCACAGACAGAATCTGAAGCAGATTTCGAATATGCTTATGAATTTTAATTGACAATTAATCTGTAGCCGTTGCTTCGCTTGAGGCCATAAGGTGGTCGTGCTGCGTTGTAACCAGCGGAACTATCGATCGAATCTCTACAGCATTCGAAAGTTTGGAATGCATCGGATGTGCCTAACCATGGCTTTATTACTCATGAAGGTTATGAAGATATTTCAGTTTGACGATAAGCAGCGAGCGTGGGCCGTGAACCCCTACTAAGCGCCTCCCAGTAACAAAACGCTAGTTTGTGGCCGGCGCCGTTCCTTTGTTGAATATCGGATAACACTGACGATTGTAATACGACGCAGGCCGCCATATCAGTTGTAATTGCAATTGTTGTGAAAACTGGAGAGCAGATACCATCTGTGCCTAAAAATGTGTCCGCAATACTCGCCGCGAAATGGCCGCACCACTGACAGAGGATGTTTTTGCGCCGCCTGGCTGACACAGGGTCGGTCTGGCCGACACGGTCGAGCTGACGGCGCTCGCGCTCGTTTTCAGGGTGCCGGCTGCACCGCTCTGCTAGTGGCGGTCGTGTCCAGGAAGCTAGAGCTCACGCGCGCAGAAAAGCACGTTCATAACTTCATGATGGATACGCAGCTTCACCAAGCGGGTAAGTCGGTGAAGGTACCGAGACTCCGTACAGTTGTGCCCTGGGTGGTGTTTGATGCGGTTTTTGATGCGTCTGGCACGTTCGGTAAGATTCGCATCAGGCATATGAACTTGCAGGCAGATAAGTTTACGCGCGTGTTTGCGCATGCGTCCTAAGTTTCGGTTGACTGGTGTTCTACAGACATAACATTTTGCACGCAGTGAACCGTTGATACAGACCAACTAACCGATACAAACGGCTTTGCGCCAAAACGAAGCAGCGTATCGGATGCCTTGGTTTCAAACAACTCGGGGTCACAGCGTGGATTCAACATTCAGCGCTATAACTTAGCCGCCGTGGCAGCCCCCTGAGGATAATATCGCACGGAAAGCAGAGTTGTGTCATTCTGCGGCCGATTAGGTAACTTTTGGTCAACTTAGTGACGTTGTGCATTAGACTGTTTTTGACAGAGCGTTTCTCTATTGATATTTTAAAAGGTCCGAAAGTCATATTTAGCTACGCTCACCTTGCAAAATGAGAAGCGATTGTCTTGTTTACGTGCAGCCCCCATATTAGAAATGAGGATACTGAGGCTTCGAGACATACTGCGGACGGCTGAGATATATAACTGTGTTCTCAGCAAGCCTGCAGAGCCGCCTCTCTCTCCCTCCTCTCTCTCTCTCTCTCTCTCTCTCTCTCTCTCTCTCTCTCTCTCTCTCTCTCTCTCTCTCTCTCTCTCTCTCTCTCTCTCTCTCTCTCTCTCTCTCTCTCTCTCTCTCTCTCTCTCTCTCTCTCTCTCTCTCTCTCTCTCTCTCTCTCTCTCTCTCTCTCTCTCTCTCTCTCTCTCTCTCTCTCTCTCTCTCTCTCTCTCTCTCTCTCTCTCTCTCTCTCTCTCTCTCTCTCGCTCTATCTGTCTTTAACTTGCCTGTATTCACGGCATTCTGCAGCAATTCCGCGACGTCGAACTTGAAATTCAAAGGGCCGCAATGCCTAAGGAATGTTTTCACCACCTTCTGGCACGTTGCTGTTGTGAAAAGACTCCCAAAAACACGTGCCTCGTTGAAACTGGTTAGAAAATGTTCATATTGTAAGAATGTGGCACACAACAAGATTTGCGTTTTTCCGGAGCATATTGGAGATATCAACCGATACCGAGCAGCCAATCCCAGCCTGTGTACCGCCCCCCCCCCCCTTCGAGCACTGTTTAATCTCGCGCTCTGGGGGCGTCTGGTCTGCCGTCTGGGGGAGTTTGGACCGTTGTGCGCTTGCCGGCCGCTCTCTGGTTGGCCAACTGTGACCTGTGGGAGGGGCCGTCGGCCGGTCGGGTCGTATGGCCGCCAGACGCCGCCCGTTGTCGCGACGCCCTCCCGTCCTCTTGTTATTCGCCGCCGCTGCGGAGATTTACAAAAAGGGTTTCCGGAGCGTCGGTCGGCTCTCGTCGCCGGGGCGGCGTCAATTACCACGCTCCACGGCCTGAAACAATCTCGGCGGCCGAGCCCAACCGCCGAAAATCACGCCAGCCAGGTCGCCGCCGGATTTTCAGGCGACAAATCCGACCTGGGAGACGCGTGCCGCTGGAAGCGAATTTGTCTGTTGGCGCGCTTCAGCGGAGTGAATCACGAGCGATGAATAATTACGCCGGATTTAATTGGTGCTTGCAAAGGACGAACAACATTGCTGCACGCTGAGCAGCATTGCCACCACCAATGGCGTCGGCGTAACTTCCAGAAGTGCTCCAAATTAATTGCCAATTTGGGTGGCGTGTTGACCTGTCTCATGTTGAGACGTAAAACGAAGTAATTGACGTTCGCTGTTTGTATTTTCTTTGCATAGTCAATCATAACTTAATGCAGGGAGCTTCATGCCCCCAAAAGACTGAAAATATAACTGGTTGCTTTTGCTAAGAAAGCATGCGTACGTCTTCCATAGGTTCGAAGTACCGCAAAATGTAGCCAACACTGCACAATGAATTTTGCTAATGAACTCAGGTGATCAGCTGGCTGTGGCCGGCCTGGCCTAGTTCCGGTATTGCAGCATCGATCGGCCTGTTAGGGCCAGCGGCGGTCAGGACGCACACCGGGCCGGGTCGGCCGACGCGGCGGCTCGTCGGACGCCGCTGGGACCCGCACCCACTCAGCCGCACGCATTACGCTAATGATCACGCGATGAAAAACGAGCGTGCAAGTAAGCAGTCATACCTTCCTTGCTTCGTGACATAACGGCACGTGAGGCGCACAAAGGTATATGCGCCACGTGCCATGGCACGACACTGTCCTGCAGTGTCCCCAGCGATGTCCACTGCACGCTGTCGAAACTGCCCTGTGGTTAACGACGGGCACTGCGCGTTGTCGACACTGCAGCCGCGTGCGCTGTACGCTCCCTGCGATACCCAGTGGCGTGTTTAACAGCGCACATCACTCGCTTCCAGCGCTGGCCCGTGGTATGCTTAACGACGTCTCTTTTACTCATCGGCGCTGTCTTGTGGAAGATAGGATTACGTGCATAAGTTCCACGCCCTCGACACACGCTGTGGCATACGCGACGGCGTCCATCATATGCTCTCGGTACTCCCCAGTGATGCATGAGGAGCAATATACCGCACTGTTCCGGGAAGCACCCTACTCCGCTCATGCTCGGTCCGCTGTCGCACAGACGTGCACGCTATGACGTGCACCGACCAGCCTTAGTACAGCCCTGCGACACGCAAAGCAGAACAGTCTGATCAGACTGGGAGGATATCGTCAGCGTTGTCCGTGACCTTTGGTCTGCGTGCCCCCCCCCCCCCACGTCCGATGTTCTGCGTCATGTACGCTGTCTGCTCATGCCCGCCCGTCTGCTCCAGTTGAAAAACTCGGCCGCCAACGTGCTGCGAGAGACGTGGCTGATCTACAAGTACACCAAGCTGGTGAAGCGGGTAAATCCCGGCCGCGTGCGCACGCACCAGCGCAAGTTCCTGCTCGCCATCTACTCGTGAGCGAGACGCGCGGGATGAGGCGCACGGCGGACCACGGCCTGGTGTGCACGCTTTCCGGCTTGAAGATGTCGGAAATCGCGGGAGACCAGTAGCATTTAGATGCTATTGGTCGTAGAAACCTAGCTGCCGTTGACTTATTCGCTATGATGTGGTGGATAATGGATTCCAAATGTTTGGCTCAGGCTGACCGCGCCGGTTGTTCGAACCATCTCGCGAACGTTCAAGTCATTAGTTTCGTGTTGCGTTATTTCGCTCTGAAATACATCAGCATAGTTTTGGAATGTAGCAAGAGCGGATGACTGATTTAATTTTCCTCCGACATGAAAGGCAGCACTGAACACGCAAAACATACACACAGACGTCTTTTGTGTAGTGAGATACCTTTTTACCAATGCTATTCCTTTTCAGATTGCGAAAAGTGAAAATGGATCAGCGGAAGCTGATGGATAATGCCAGCACGATAACGGACATGGCAAAGGTAGGCTGTGTGCCGCGTTGAGGTTGACCATTTAGTTATTAGCTCCTTTTAAGACTTTGTTTTATCTTTATCGCCCCTTCATTGTTGACATTCCTATCGGTAAGACGTGGTCAGAAAACCATTGGCGACAGATGACTGTGGTTGTCCAGTCCCTGGCGCAGAATATAAGCAACGCTGCTGTGTGCTTCTCCTCCCTCCGCTGCCGTGTGGTTCTATTCCTCAGATGCCGTGTGCTGCTACACTTCGGATGCCATGTGCTGCTATACCTCATATGCCCGGTGCTACTATTCCTCGGATGTCGTATGCTGCTACTCCTCGAATACCGTGTGCTGCTATTCCTCGGATACCGTATGCTGCTACTCGCCGGATGCCGGCCGTTGTGATCGCCATATCTTGCAGGCTAATCCCTGGTAGCTGCTACCTGGCAACACGAATCTGGTCGTTCAGGGGTGCAGCCAGGATTTTTTTAACGGTGGGGGTGAGCGATGCTCGCGGATTACCCATCACGACAATTTTTTTAAATCCTGGGCCTAAAGGGGACCCTACTGGACTAAACCCCGGTGGCCATCAGCACACAGGAGCGGAGTATAGTGTCGATCGTGCAGCAAGACACGCTCAGAGTGGGAACAAGCTTTAGTCTATGAGTAAAGAGCGGAAGCGCCAATGCTGTAGAACGCCAGCAGGGCATCCGCCTTCTCTTTCTACCGCCGCTGGCCCTCGGTTCTGTAGGTGCACGTTAAAGTAGCGCAATTTGTAAATAAAACATGGCCAGTTACGTCACTTCCTGTGAAGGGATGCGACTAATGTGATCGGCTCCCTGCACCTGACCAAACAAAGGTCATTCCTAGCTGAAGTGTTGAAGTGAAAAGTGACCCTAGTCTTAACGACACCGCAGCGAAAAAGGTTTTTACGTTCTGCACATATGGCATCACATGTGATCTAAAAAGACAGCGTACCTACGTGATCAGCGCCGGCTGCCAAATGGTGGGCCAACCTGACTACCACCAGCGCAGTGCATCTCCATCTGGCGGCGCTGCATCCGTCGTTACTGTGGTGTACGCTGCCGGAGAGTGATGCCGACATTTCACACGAGCTCGGCCAACAGCCCAACTTCCAAAGGCCCACTCGCCAGTGAAGACGGACGGGGCCCGTGACCGGCTTGCGGCCCATGAAGCGATGTAGCCCTGGTGGTGGCTCGTGCAGACAGGGCCCGCAGCCTCCAACAGCTCTGTAACCGCTGCAGAGGAGCGGCCACGGCACCCATGTCTTCAGAGCCGTAGTTGACTGGCTGACAACCTTAATTGAATGGCTGATAGCCTAGCCGTTCAACAAAGTCTCAACCACCGTTGTCATGACCTGCGCAAGTAGGAATAATTATTTCCAGACATATTCTCGAATGCGGCAGGTGTCACAAAACGTTCCATTGGAGCCAGCAAACGGAGCTGTCACCTGCTTGGTTCTCCATACTTGTTGGCGGCGCAGTTCTCGGTCGTCGCGAACAATGCATGCTGTGGACAGTGCTTCTTTCGTCCGTCACCAATAAGTCTCTGAGTGTCGACGGTCGTTTGCTGTCATCCTGCAAGCATGGGCTTAGCCTCACACCACTCAGGGACATTGACGGCTATGCAAAACGCCCCGCTGAAATGGATGGGAACTAACGAAACATTTTTGTGCTACAATTTATCCCACAGCAACAAACTTTGCCACTTCCATCGCGCTTTGTATTCAAATGAATCTGTATGGGTAAAAACGCTGTCGTAATTCTCCTTGAAAAAATAGACTCCATATGAATCAAAGAAGTGTGTCACAACTTTCCAAAAGTTCAACTAAAACAGGACTGATAGTTGGACCAATGCCTTCAGCGCTCAGGAAAGCTCGCCGAACTCATGTCAGACGTCACTGGACGAGCAGTGAGTAGCTTAGCAGCCTAGCTGACCTCCCCAGCTGACCCCGACCACGGAGGTCATGCACTCCAGAGGGGTCGGGTGCGCCGGCGATCGATAGAGATGACAGCGGTGGCGGCTGTGTGGGGGCCATTCAAGCCAATGCAAACTGTCCGGCCGTGGCTGTCCAATCGATCCCCTCCGCTGGCCCATCAGCGGTGGCAGCGTTCTCCGCGTGCGGCGCGCCGGCCACGCTCTCGCGTCCTCCTGTGCGTGATCTGCGCACATGGTGTGGGTGTGGATGGATACAACCAGGTGCAGTCCCAATGAAGTTGGCGGAGGAGGAATTCCTTGGAGTTTGGAGAGTTGGAGAGATGTCATTTAGATGTGTTTGAAAAGGTTGGGAGAAAATATTCGCCCTCCACCCCCAATGGTGCCCTTTCTGCCCACTGTTTCCATTCCCTCGCGCATGACGCTGCTGACTTGATGGTTCCGCCGTAGCTATGGGAAAATCTAATGATACAGATGACACGTATGTCGACGTGTAATGCATGAAACTGTTTGAGATTTCTGAGATGTGAACGGCGCTTCATTCTTCATAGTCTATTTCGTTATTGACTCCGACTCCTTTATCCGTGACCATCGCCCTTGCTCCCCATAGCCGCCGGTCTCACGTCAACACTAGTTTCCTTTGGACCTTCCCATGTACGGTCAGTAACATGTTTCTGGGATCTACTGCTTTCCTGATCCACGATCACCCGCTCCCCTAGTTCCCGGATCACCCGCTGCCCCAATCCTTTTCCCCTGGTTTCTGGAGTTATCCACGTGGCTCAAGGGTGGCACGACTTGCCTTTTCATGGATTTCCTCGTCCCGATTTCCGCTGCCGCTGACTTCCCGTTTCCTACTAGGGTGGGACCCACGCTGGTCGCGGGATCTCTCCACAGCGGGCCGGTGCCACTGTCCGCGGGATCTCTCCGCAGCGGGCCGGTGCCGCTGTCTACGGGATGTCTCCGCAGCGGGCCGGTGCCGCTGTCCGAAGGATCTCTCCGCAGCGGGCCGGTGCCGCTGTCTACGGGATGTCTCCGCAGCGGGCCGGTGCCGCTGTCCGAAGGATCTCTCCGCAGCGGGCCGGTGCCGCTGTCTACGGGATGTCTCCGCAGCGGGCCGGTGCCGCTGTCCGAAGGATCTCTCCGCAGCGGGCCGGTGCCGCTGTCTACGAGATGTCTCCGCAGCGGGCCGGTGCCGCTGTCCGCGGGATGTCTCCGCAGCGGGCCGGTGCCACTGTCCGCGGGATCTCTCCGCAGCGGGCCGGTGCCGCTGTCCGCGGGATCTCTCCGCAGCGGGCTGGTGCCGCTGTCTACGAGATGTCTCCGCAGCGGGCCGGTGCCGCTGTCCGCGGGATGTCTCCGCAGCGGGCCGGTGCCGCTGTCTACGGGATGTCTCCGCAGCGGGCCGGTGCCGCTGTCCGAAGGATCTCTCCGCAGCGCGCTGGTGCCGCTGTCCGCGGGTCGTGTCGCCTTTCCATCCGTGCCGCTCAGTCCCAGCGGACCCGCCGCCAACATCGCCCGGCTTTATAGCCCCGCGGAGCCTAGCTGCCACAGTGCAAACTGACCATGAAGCGCTGATGTGGCGCACTTCAGAAGGCTTATTCATTATCGATGTTGAACCAGCCATGTGGTAATTAGATCCAGTTACATCAAGCGGCCTGAGTGTGAACACTGAGTTGTGGTGCGGCGCGTTGGCACATGATGGGTGTTTCAAGGCGGGACAAGTTTTGAGAAGCGGGCATCCTGCACGGCAAACTGTGGCTCGCGATTAAAGACGTCGTTTTCGTCCTTTTAATGTGCTGAGACGCCAACAGTCTGACGGATTTTGTCATCTCCACCTCTACATCAGCCTCCAATTTGATAGCCGAGAGACTAGTACGTTATTGTTGTTGAACTGTAGACCTTTCAAATTTAGTGGCACCATTCAGTGCATGTTCATTACGGTCAATGGCATTTTATCTTCCCAAATGGTGTCGCCATGTTGTTACTCTCCAACTCTGTCCCTGGTCTCAACTGAGGTATCAGAAAATCGTCATTCCAAGAACAGAGACAGAGATTTAATAGCCGAGAGGGACAACAGAGACGTAAGATTGCCCCTTCTCAGTCCCGAGCACCCTGACGTCGCATCGTCCCACCACTCTGACCTCCTTGTCCCGTCACTGCGACCACTGTTGCACTACTGTGACATTACTACTGTCCTAACGTTCTGCCTCTCTCCGCACCACCACTTTAACCTCTCACCACCCTACCAGTACGACCTCCTCAATGTCTTACCATCTGGAGTCCTACAGTGAACTTTCCAACGCCCCACCACTGGGACTACCCTCCTGCCGCACTGCTGCGACACCCTCACTGTCCCACCACACTGAGCTTCCGCTGTCCCACCACTGACCTCCCCTCTGTCCCATCACCCTGACCTCCCGGCTGTCCTCCACCCTGACGTCCCCGCTGTCCCACCACTCTGATCTCGCTGCCTGGCTGGGAGAGGCCTCTCCGCCTTTCGCACCAGACGCAGTACCCGCTGCCCCGCCAGCAGATCCGTCACAGTGGGCTGAGGGGCACGCCTGTGGCGCCAGAGCTATCATTTCCGGCGGGAAATGGGGCCGTTCATCAGTACGGGCTACACCATGATATTGCAGGCGAGATGGGAGCAGCGAATCCTAACAGGGGCGAGCGGAAGCCAGCCACGAAGGACCTGGAATCCGCTGAAAAACAGACTCAGGTTCTGGTTCGGGTTTTTTATCTTTTTTTCTCGATCTACCCAGTCCACCAGAAAAAAAAAATTGTTTTTTATCATCTTGGACCACGTTCTGTAGAAGTAAGTTACAGCTGCACTACCCAGCATTCCTTAGTTGCCTCATAACGATATAAGTGGGTTCCTTCTATCTCGCCATTATAATACATGCCTATTCATTGCCACTCATCAGGCAGCTTTTGAATCTTGAGCTCACCAAAGGAACAGCGATGTGCTCGGAACCCATCAAAACTGGTGCTCTCAGACCTTAACCTTACCAGCAGACAGCCCTCAGTCTCGAAACCCCAACAGTCAAGCCCTCAGTCTCATCAGACAGCAGCCAGTCCTCGATCCCATCACTCTAACAGCCAGCTCTCAATCCCATAACCCGCCAACCGTCAGTCTCATCACCCAACAGCCAACTTTCAATACCATCACTCCAGAATCCAGCTCTCTGTTACATCACCCCAACATTCGGCCCTCGGTCGCATCGCTCAACAGCCAACCGTCAGTCCCATCATTAAGGCAGCCAGCTCACAGTCCCAACATGCTAGCAGCCAGCTCTCAAGCCCAACATTCCAGCAGCCTGCTCACAGTCCCATCACTCTGGCAGCCAGCTCACAGTCCCATCACTTCAGCAGCCAGCTCACAATCCCATCGCTCCAGCAGCCAGCTCATAGTCCCATCACTCCGACAGCCAGCTCACAGTCCCATCGCTCCAGCAGCCAGCTCATAGTCCCATCACTCCGGCAGCCAGCTCACAGTTCCATCACTCTGTCAGCCAGCTCACATTTCCATCACTCTTGCAGCCAGTTCACAGTTCCATCACTTTGGCAGCCAGCTCACAATTCCATCACTCTGGCAGCCAGCTCACAGTCCCATCGCTCCAGCAGTCAGCCCACAGTCCCATCGCTCCCGCAGCCAGCCCACGGTCCCATCGCTCCAGCAGCCAGCTCATAGTCCCATCACTCCGGCAGCCAGCGCACAGTCTCATGACCTCGTCGATCGTCTCTCACCGCCCACCTCACCCTCCAGCCGTCCGTCCACCCTCACCCTCCAGCTCCGTCCGCCCACTTCACCCTCCAGCCGTCCGTCCGCCCTTCCGACAGTCATATCTGCCGAGCCAGGATCTGTGCGGAGGCTGCCATAATGACGACAACCGGTGCCAGACGATCTGATCATTACGGGCGACGTTCATTTCTCCGAGCGGCCGTGTGCTCTGGAGGTGCCACATCCAATCAAACATGACGCGCCCGGTAATGGCGGGTCACCCGAGTCGACACCGATGACTGTCCGAGGGTAGGATGACCGGCGCGCTGGTGGGGATCTCCCGGTGCCGCTCGCCTCGTCCGCAGAGGCGGGGCGCCCTAAAGGAGCACCGCAGTGGAGAGGGGGAGAGGTAGGGAGAGAGAGAGAGAGGAGGGGAGTGAGGGAGGGAGGGAGGGAGGAAGGGAGAGAGAGGGGAGCAGGACAGTAGATTAGAAAAAGAACTCTTCAGCTGTTGTCAACCGTACCAGAAGCCAATGAGTCCCAAAGGGTTGGACATTGACATGTTGTTTCCACCATCTTGCTCTACGCCACTGTTGTATTATTTATATGTTCTCCTGGGTGCAGTCATAAACACCGTTCAAGCACGCTTCATTTTTTCTCGTGGAGAAGCAGCCGAGGTAGCGGAATTCTCGAGCGCGGAGAATGCGGCGGCGGCGGCGGCGGCGGAGCGCCCGCGTGCTCGTATGTCATCACTCGCACATCCGCCGCGCCTGCTCATATCAGCGCCATCCAAACTGGGGCTGTGACAAATTACGACGGTTGGCGCGCCGCGTTCGCCAGAGGCCGGCGTTTTGATTAAAGAAGCCTACTCCCGGCTATCCGGCGGCCATCGATTGCCGCGTCGTCATGTCAGCCGCCGCCTTTGACTCGGCGCGCGTCACACGGCGAGGGAATTTTCCATTTTCGCGGAGGATAGGCCCAAAATGGAGGGCGGATCAGGGCGTGGAGGAGTCGGATCAGCCGGCGGCGGCGATGCGTCGGCGGACCATTGACGCAGTGCGCCGCCCAGAGGGCCGCCAGTGGAGCCGCTGGGAGATTGCCGTGTCCTTGCCCTCGTCGGCGCGACGTGACGCCTCCCACTGACTCCCACACCTTTTGCTTAGGCACGACTGCTGAGGATGCGTCGTAGGCCGCTGCTCGGTTTGGCCCTGAAGCGACATGGCGCTGTCTGTCGCTGGCCGCAGGACGTTCTGGTGGTGCTCGTACTGGCAGTCTGCTTGGTTTCGGGTTGTGCCTGGGCGTGGCGGGACCTCGGGACCCCAGCGCCACGATGGAACAGCCGTGTTTGTTTAATCGCGTTTGTGGGCCGATGAAAGTCTGGTTCCAGGATGGCCTTTCACACATGAACACTCGGTCTTATTTCCTGCCCGGTTCACGTTCCCGTTCCAGAGACCTTTGCGCCCCGTTGCATAAACCACAACGATGCACGGTCATAACCGCCCCTGAGCGACGTCAGAACGAACGCGCCATCAAGAGTGAACCCACTGACACCGCTTACAGTAGCTGGCGCGCGTGTTGCAGGTGCAGAATTCGGTGTACGAGCTGGTGGTGGACATGAACGCACGCCAGGAGCTGGCCGATGAGCGCGTCAGCAGCATGGAGGAGCGGCTGGCCAACGTGCAGGAGCAGCTGGAGCAGCTGCCCGAGGTGCTGCAGCGCTGCCTGGCCGCACACCAAGAGCAGCTGGAGCAGCGCCGGCAGCCGCATACACTGCACCCGGAGATGGCGCTGCAGCGATCGCCGCCGCGGCACCCGCCCATCACGCGCTCCACCAACGTCACCTCGCTGCCGGCCGTGCCACCGGTGGTACGCAGCAACACGGTTAACACGCCGCCGACAGCGCCGCCGCCGCCGCGCCGGACGCTGCCACACAACCACCTGGGCACAGGGGACGCGTGACGCCCCGGCCGCGCGCCGCCGCCGCCGCTGCCGCCGCCGCCGCCGCTGCCGCTGCCGCCACCACCACCGCCGCTGCCGCCGCCGTCGCTGCCGCCGTCGCCGCCGCCGCCGCCGCCGCCGCCGCCGTCGCCGCCGCCAAGTGCCTTGCGGAAAGGAAACGAACTTGTGAGGGATACTTCTGTGATCTAGGGCGCAGTGGACGGACAGCTGCACGTAGCCTACCGTTACATTTCATTCCTAATGCTGAGGTTAAGCGCGCGCCGGCCGTTCGTTTCAGGTTGTGATGATTCTGTGCTGGCCGCGGCGGCTCGCGCGCGGGCGGTCGCATGGTTTAGCGTGACAAGTAGCGTCTAGTTTGTTTTACACGTTCGCGGCGGGCGGCCTTAACAAGTCCCGCTTAGGCGTGACGTCCGGGCGCCGGCCAGGTCGGCTCGGCCATCATTTTCAGAGGCCGTCGCCGCTGTCCCGACTGACGGTTGCCGGTCGCGTTGTTGACATTGTTTTGAGCTGCGCGCTCGGCGAGACTCGCCGCTCGTGCTCGCCGCGCTGAACTCGGCTGTAAATAGAGGTCCGCGCGGCTCGGTCCACGCGCTTATCGCCTCTGCTGCTCCCCGTATATGTTGTCGTACTGTTTCGTGTTCCGATTTAGTTGTAAGTGCGTCTTCAATGTCATGTCTTATTTTTCGGTGCGCGCAGCCCGGGGCGCACTTATGCGGCTCTCCCTCTCTTTCTCTCCCTCTCTCTCTCCCTCTTTTGCTCTCTCTCTCTCCCTCTCTCTCTCTCCCTTTCTCTCCCTCTCTCTCTCTTTTGCTCTCTCACCCTATCTCTCTTTCTTTTTCTCTCTCTCTGCTGCGCCCCGCCACTTGCTGGTCGCCTATCTTTTCATCTGCACAAGAGCTGAGTCAGATCTTGTGAGACCGTAGCAACTGCTGCGTCTACCCTCGTCGTCGTTGTTCCTTTCACTCCTCATTATGCCTGCCAGCCCCCGCCTCTTCTCCCGCTACCTGCCTCATGTCCTGTATGCCGGTTCCACTGCCTCAAGCGGCCGTTATTTTCACAATCTCACCCTCGCCGGGCTTTCCGCTTTCTCTCCCGCGGCCGAGTGTCCACGCACCGTCTCTGGCGCCGCGACAGCCAAGCCTCTCCCCTTCCCCGCTCCGTCTACCACCAGCCAAGCGTGCATCTCCCCGTTTCTTCAGAGTATTCGCTACCTCCCACCAGTCACAAAAATAAATTATTACACTATTACGCGTGTGGTGGCGACGGCCGACGCGGCGCGCGGGGGCCGAATCCGCCGACGGGCCGGCCGGCGCGTGTAGGCCCGCTCGGGCCGACGTGCGTCGAACACCAACGGGCACAACCTAGCCCGATATGCATGGCGGACGCCGCTCAGCGGCGGGCCGCCTGCAGCTCGCCAGCCCGGCATACAGCCGATTATCAGCGGTGGAAAGCAGGCGGCGACGGCAGCGCCCCTGTTCGCTGTCAGCCGGCGCCCGCCTGCACGGCACAAGCGCTTCCGGCCGCATACGACGCTGGAACGGCCTGCGGGCGGTCCGCGCTCACAATCGCCGGGAATCCGCAGCAATGAAGCGCCGAGGCGGCATAAAAACCTTCGGCTAACTTTGTTCGGGTCTAAGGCGGGAAGTTTTCAGAAGTTGGATGGCTTCAAAGAAACATTTACGGTATCGGTTTTAAGTCGGTAACTAAATCGACTCTCATTTGTGAGGGCTTAATCATGTTTAAATGTGACTTCGACACGTTCGCCAGGCGCACATAAACTTTTCCCTTTGCAAATCATACTGAGTGCGACTCAAAACCTGCAAGATGAGAACACCAACGAATAGAAGTAGAAAGCAGAGTCATGTTAGGAATCCACATACGTATCGGTGCTCTCCTCGAACGCCGCAAAGTTATACACAAAGCAAAGCCGCAACTTTTGAAGAAGACCGGTTTCGTCTTTGCCTTTTGCCTCATCTGCCGCGAGCCCTGGCCACGGAGGGAACCCAGCCTCCAGCTCGCGGTTCGACCTCCAAAATCCCCACCCGGCCGCCACTCCGCCGCGACCACGCACGTCCGGCACCGGCGTCAGCGGCGCGGCCGCGGCCCCCCCCCCCCCCCCCCTCCTACAACCGGCCGTCGAGGGGCCGTCCAACGGAGCGGACGGGGCCAGCGGGCCGGCGTCGACGCATTAGTCGCACCGCAACCGGCCGGGCTCGGCGGCCGGCCGGCCGCCCGTCAGCGGAGACATTAGGCGCCGCGTCGCTAACGACGCGCTGCCGAGCCGACGGGGCGGGCGGTCCGCCGCGGCTGGCGCTGTGGCGGGCGACGACCGGGTCGGCTCGTGGCACCCGGACACCGCTGGGGAGTGGCAGAGTCACATGGAGGGAAAGGTAGATGCATCTGATCTGTATTTGGAGAAGAGTTTACGTGGGGATTCATGTGCACTCGTTGCCACGGCTATGGCCTACAAATGCTTGGCAGTGCCTAGTTTGCATTTTTGCGGTTAGTGGTGAGGTGACAGTTACGCTCTACACAGCCGTTTTGCACTGCAAGCTATTTGCAGCCCTGAATATTTTGTACGAATCATGGTTGTGCATGATGCCAATTATTTTTGGCTACGGAGTTGGGCTGTTGGGTTTGGGCATACTCTTCCCTGAAAGATCTGCAATGCTTATTGTCTACATACTCTTACACTGCACACCTCAGTGTGACGTGCACATCGCTGCTTTGGCCTTTACTACACACGGCCGTATCTGCATCCCATCGGGCGGTTGCGAGCGGGATAATTGCTGCTGTCATGCCCACCGCTGCCAGCACTGCATGGCCGCGACTGAATCGGCCGCGACACGACGGCCATTCTGTCACACACCATTAATTCACGCTGCAACCCCCCCCCCCCTCCCCCTCCTCCAGCATGGCACCGCACGGCGTCGCTAATGAAACAACCACTGGGCACAGCGGATCAGCTACCGTGCGGCGATCCGCCACATCTCACCCATCCCACACGCCGTGACCCACCCCATACGCCGTGACCCATCCCATATGCCGCGATGCCGCGACCCATCCCACATGCTGTGACCCATCCCACATACCGTGACCCATCCCACACGCTGGGGCCCATCCCACACACCGTGGCCCATCCCACACGCCGTGACCCATCCCACACGCCGTGACCCATCCCACACGCCGTGACCCATCCCACATGCTGTGACCCATCCCACATACCGTGACCAATTTCACATGCCGTGACCCATCCCACATACCGTGACCAATTCCACATGCCGTGACCCATCCCACACGCCGTGTCGTCTCAGCAGCAACACCATCTTCGATATATCCACCCCCATGAAAAGGCGACTGCATGGCGGGAAGATGGCAGGTTCCAAAACAGTGCATATATCGCGTGAATCTAGGCTCTATGCATAACGTGTCCGGGCGCCAGCTGAATGCGACACGTTCGGGCGAACGTGGGCAGCCAGTTTGGGCTTCTGAGGTATCAAACGTATGACAGGTTCACAGGGTAGGTGGGAATATATGTGAACTTGCTGTGGGAATATATAGATCTCTATGCCGTACTTTTCGCGTCAGTTCGTGTCAAATTAGGAAAAAAGAATCGAATTCTAGACCAGTGCTCATAGTCCCTTCGGATCTGCTAATGCAGCCACGTTTAACCTAGGCCTCTTGTCTGAGCAAAACGTCACCCAGAGGCATTTCAGATAAGTGGCCTCATCTAACATTTGGAGCGTCAGAATGACAGAAACCTTCGGCATCATTTTGATATTTGAACTTGAAATAACACCAAGGACTGTCTTGGGCGGCAAGTTTCTCATCTTCGAGGCCTTGTTAGGTCAGTGACCAGCTCTGAATTCGTTAAGTCAACATAACAAAAGTGTTTACCGCCTTGTGATCAAGGAGTCTTAGGTATGTAACAAATGGGAAATTTTGTCGTTTCCCCTACTAGCACGAGAACATGTTGTCGGTAACACATCGGAGGTAAACCTCTAAAACCTCATGTGTTCTGGATCAGGGTGACAAGAGGAAGGCGTAGGTCACACTTAGGCAAGGGGCGTAGTTTCGCAGAATGAATCGGGGCGGGGGAGGCTGGGCCGTGCAAATAATCATGAAACCCATCCTGAAATTCACCAACAAGCGGATTTCTCTCCGGATTTCGTCCACTTTTCTCTCAAAATTGAGGGCATTTGGAGCACAAGCTTGGGAAGCCGAAGCTTCCTCCCCCACACCCAGCTGAATAGGAAGCTACACCCCTACACTTTGGTCCAGATCGGACTGCTGAACATGCTGGCGAGCAAGCTTGCCACGTAAGGTTTGCATTTGTAGCGGCTGGCTCCGCGCCGTTTGAAAGCTATGAGAACGGCAAAGAATATGACTGCCTTGTGCTAAGCAATGCACAGTTTGACGTAAGAAAAATGCCTGGGTGTTGGATTTTTGGCATTATCAGTTCAGAGCTGTAATCTAAAGTTATCGATTTTCAACATATCAGGCTCAACGATATGATCCGCTGACCTGACCTGACCTGATGACCTGCTCAAGGAGCAGGTCATCCTGGCGCTCAACTATTTGCAGCTGATGATATGAACACCAAGCCTCTGGGTTAGCAGCGTGGAGAGCCAAGAACCTGCAAATAGATGCGCAACATGTCTCCCAGACCCAGGGGAGGCTGCGAATCACCGATTGGAACCTCTCAACAGTTTGAGGCCATCAAGGCTGTCATCACACAACTTCGTGTTCGAGAGAAGCGCACCCATCATGCTCCTACTTGGGTTCCCTCAGCTTCTGCAGTGACGACCGTGATGAGCGTCAAGGTCAACAGGGTGAACGTCTTCATTTCAAAGAATCCTGGTCATCTCATCCGACGTACCCTTCGAATTTAAGCGGAAACCATTTCCCGTCAGGCGGAGCTAGACGGTGACCATGCAAACCAGCCTAGGTCAGTCTCTGGAGGTCATTAGTCTCCACCTGACTGAGCCAGGGTTTTCCCGGGGTCGAG